TTCTTTATTCTGTTCATACCTTTAGATCGAAAATGAGTCGTTTATTTGTTTTCAAGCATAATGTGTGCAACCTTCTCATGGTCAACGATCTAATTTAGAGCTTGTTTATCAAGTAAGAAAAGGTTGTCGAGTTATATTAATTAATATTCGATTCTTTTTGACGATAAATTTTACAAATTATTGAATGAAAACTTGGATGTCAGTTAGATTAGTGAAGAAGAAATATTCGAATTGTACCACTATTGTACCACTCGGTTCTTTGGACCGATATTTGAACGTTTAAAAAATATTGGAGCGCGGTATATGTAACCCCCCCCAACCCCCCATAATAGAAGACCACCTGGTCTTCTATTTTGTCTCTCAAGTCAAGTTCTAAAGGGTGGTCTTCTGTTGCGGTCAAATTTTGTCGCCTGCTAGTAGTCCAACGGTAACCTTACGTACTTGATGTCCGTCCCCTATTAAAAGCACTTTTTGGCGAAATTTTTTCGAAAATTCCCCTATAGGTATAGGGCATTTTCCGATTTTTCTTGCGGACATAATAGAAGACCACTGGTGTTCTATTTGGCTTTCAAGTCATATAATCGCCAGTGGTCTTCTAATAGGGGATGGTCTTCTATTATGGGGGAGTTTACATATGTGGGTTTTTCTTTATTCATCACCATTATATTCTCCCTTTTCCAGTCTTTTTAGTTCACCTTGTATCTTGAGTTCTCTATCGTCTGATACAAGTATAATAGTTGTAAATTATCCGATTTAAGCTGTTTCGATGAGAAATATGTTTGTTAGAAGTATTGGTGTTGAAAAACAGATTCAAACATGTATATTACTGCTGTCCGTTAAGTCCTTAATATTCTATCATTTTCATTTTATGACGATATATTTCAAAAATTCACTTGATGAATGGTAGAACAGACAATCAACTTGTTGATGCCACATCAGTGAAACGGAAAATCGTATCTAGTCTTTTTTAAATAAAGAAAAGAAATAAACGAGTGGCAGATTTGTTCTAATGCCGAATGAGCAATAAACAGATAAACATGGTAAAAATAACAAAAGTAGAATAGAATATAAAAATATATACATATATGAAACTCTATGCAGCGACAAACATAACAATAAGAAAACTTACTTAATTATATTTATCCAGTAAAACTCCCATGAATTTCAACACATTTGGATGGATAAGGCGTTTCAAAACTACTAATACTTTTTTATTTTTGTTAGTAAAGGATTGGCAAGAAATAAATTTAGTTAACATGCACAATGTACTGTGGAACATTCTATACACGCTTTTATTTATTTGTTTTCAGACCTAGTGTGCAACCTTCTTATGGTCAACGATCTAATTTAGAGCTTGTTTATCAAGTAAGAAAAGGTTGTCGAATTATATTAATTAATATTCGATTCTTTTTGACGATGACTTTTAGAAATTATTGAATGAAAACTTGAATATCAGTTGGATTAGTGCAGAAGAAATATTCGAATTGTACCATTAACGGATAATTTTTATATTTTTGAACTATTCTATGGTCCGGTTTTTCACAAAGCACATGTGTGCTATTGCCTGTTAAATGCGATCTGAATTTTGCATCTAAAAGAATGAATAGAGCTTCGCTGAGTTGAAAAGAGTACCGCACCAAGCTAGGTACACTCACCATTCTGTTTTATTTTTGACTGAATATTTAAACGATCCTCGCTCGATATTCCAGTGGTTGTAAATAAAAGACTTTTGAATCGCGGACATTTATATTTATTAAATTCTTCATTTTTCAACAGAAATCAAATCAATTCAACAGAATAAAGAAGTTCGTTTAACAAAGAAATTCCACAGGTTCAAAACGAAAAATGCCATTGATAAATAAAAGCGTGTATAGAATGTTCCACAGTACATTGTGCATGTCAACTAAATTTATTTCTTGCTAATCTTTTACTAAGAAAAATAATAATATTCTACAATGGTTTCTTGCTAGTTTTCTAAGAAATATCCCGTTAGCAAAACAAAGATTGTTTATACCTACCTGAAATGAAGACGTGGCAGAGCCAGCCGAAAATAATTCCGATTATTGCAGTCAGGATGAGAGTCAAACGAATATTACGAAGATCTGTTCTTGCTAATTCTTCTTGTATTTTTAACAATTTGTCTTGCATTTTTGTAAATTATACATCTTGTTCGTCCAATTTCTTTTCTGATTTCGATTTCTGTTCTAATTCCAATTTCTTTTCTAATTCAGTCTTTTCGCATTGCAATTTTGTGATGGTAAGCTCGGATTCTTTGGCTGATAACTTGTGCTCGATATGTCTGACTTGTGATTTCAGGTCGCATACGTCTCGTTCAAGTTGCAGTATTTCTCGATTTTTATTCGCCATTATTACGTCTTTATCGTCGACGATTTCGACTTTTTTCTCCAAAGCTTGCTGTTGTTGTTGTTGTTGATTCAGTTGCATAATTTGTTTTTCATGTTTTCTTTTGATATTTTCAATAGTCTTTGTCGATTGTTGTATCACACGTTCGTAATCGTGTTTTGAATCACGTATCATATTAGCTAAACAGAAAGCGACTAAGTCAGTTTTTGATGGAAGAGACCGAACTGTGCCAGGATCCTCTAAAGAACTGGTCCGACGTTTCGCAGCCCGCATAAAAGGAAGATGTGATTTTGTTTTTCTTACCGTGTGATTGATTCGATTTAAAATATACTTTTTAATAACTTAAAAAATAACTCTCCGTGCAAACAACAACAGCCGCAATTGCCAAAATTTTCTACGTCATCCTCATCATCATCGGCCTCCTCGTCGTTAAACACCTTAGCCGAAAAGAAATAGCTTCGATACAGGCAAAATTTAGTTTTAATAGACGTTATTGTTTATTTGAAATCATGTCGAATCGATCGAATTGGATGGAAAAGCTTTACCAACTCGAAAGATTATTTTCTACTTTCTAGAAAATCCTGATGATGAGGAAGAACAATTTGAATGAGAATGCTGATAATCAGAGACTTGTATGAAAATGCTGAAGATAAACTTTTTCACCGCACCATAAAAACTATTGAACTTCGAAGTTGAGTGGGTGTATTATTTCAGCTTATTGAATGACAATATGGATCTTTTATTAATGAAAACCAAATTCGACATCGCTCACGTGTTGAACGACTGTTATTTTATTTAAAAAATAAAGAAAACAAGGAGTTAGGATCGTGTCTTTGAGTTAATACAATCAAGTACATTTTTGGACGATGCTAAATTCACTCATAAAAATGAGGAATATTAGCACGAGCAAATCGCTTTGCGATCTTCAGAAAGTTGCGGTGGAACTCGACTTTGCGTTAACCAGCCCTAACCCAAGGACCTTTTCAGTACATCTTTGTGATCTCCGAGTGTCCTGCAGCAGCAATACTTCTCGAAGAATATGCTGGTTTGCATATATTGATTCAGTGTTTTTGGACAAGCTACCATTACCGAGATATTCACTATTATACACTATGAAGGACACTGCTTTTGTGAATATCCCGGTAATGGTGGTAGCTTGTCTAAAAAAACCTGAAAACAGGAAATAAAATCTCATTTTATTTTGGTTCAAGTTCAAAACTTTCATCCAATGAATTTGAGTTGCTCATAAACGAAAAAGTGTACGAAATAAGCAGATTTTTTATCTCAGTCCACGTACCAGTTATTCTTTTTTGATTTGAATGCCGAGTCGTAGTAAGAGAAATAGTCAAAAATTTCGTTTCACTTTTTCAACATCATTCTCCTCTTTAATATTACTCCAACGTAATTGTTGTAATTCTTCGCTATATTGCATTTTATTTTACTTGGCTTTCTTTTCAAAAATAGAAAGCAATTAGCTAAAACTGCCTCGAAATATGTTTAAGCGCACCTGTAGCATGGGAAAAGCTAATAACAGTAAATTGTCAAAGGCTGAAACTCTTTTTAGCTCGTACAAAAGAAAGATTTTGTCTCTCTATAACAGAACCAGCTGAGTTTATAATTGCACATGATTATGATGAGCTTTTTCAATTTTTTAAAATAGATTGTGTTTTAAAAACAGTGATTGTGCTAAGAAACAGAGTCAATCTGTAATAAGACACAGAAACGAGGGGAATCCGAATAAATAATAAACAAACAAATGGCGTACGTTGATGTTTTAGCTAGTTTATTAGTACTACTATAGTAGTAATAATTCTCCGCATAAAATGTGTTGGAGTTTTTAAGTTCATATTTATTGTTTCCTATTGAAAAGTAATACATGAAATATCTTCATCTTCTTTTTTTGGTCTCTAATATGGCTTAAGGGCTTAGCATATTTTCTTAAATACTCTGACTATACCCATTGAAAAATTTGACACTCCAACCCTATAAAGAAAGATTATTATGACAGGATCTGCTAAGAAGCCTGCCATTCAATCCCAGCAGGCAAAATTCTCACGAGCAGACCTGTGTAGGTCTGTTGCAGAGAATCCAGCAGATGGTCTTTCAAAGGTCTGCCACGATGTTCTTTAAAAACTGGGCGATAGAAAACCAATTTACAATAGTAAAGAACGAAAGAATCACTTGTACAAAATGTGGCAGAAAAAAAATGTATAAACAAAAACTAACAAAAAAAGTCATGCGATGTGTAAAAGGACAAGGTTTCTTAACACTTACTTAGGGCGGTTCCTAGAGAACGCTTTTAAAAATCAAATTTCTTTTCTTTCATTTTAAAAACTTTAACTAAATTCCACCAACATCAAGTAACAGATAGAACAAATTTTATTCTAAATTTATTTTCTTTTATAGAAACACCTCAAAGTTCAAGTCATCCAGAAAAATTTTTACATGAAAATATCGTCTCTGTCATTTTTTATACTTTTCTCTAACAAACATAATTGGTCGTACAATTTTTCTCACCGAAAAACACAAGATTTCAATAAACAGGATGCAGAAGAGCCTCAATACTCTACATTCTGAAGTTTTGAACTTGCTGTAATGTTTTTTGAGTGAGTAGTGAATTTTTTAATATTAGGTGAAAAACAGCCTAAAACCTCAATTTGCATAAAACTCGTTATGTTACATCGTATTCATAAATGCGCATGATCATCCGTTCTCATAACTGTCTCACACACAGTCATATGATGGTAATTTAAAAAAAGCTAGAATTCGTACCCGACCCATACCTGACAACTTCTTATCCATTCCCAACCTTCGGATCGGGTCGGGTTGCACACCTTTATGGTTAAATTATTGTCTTTTATATCATTTCCTGTTATTGGGCGATCTAATTCTATCTGTTTTGTATCTGAATCATAATCATATGGTTCAAAATTTTCGGTTAGTAAAGGAATTAGATCTTGATCCCGTATAACAGTGTAGATGTCCTAAATTCTCCTGCTGCCAACCAAGCAAAAACACCCGAATTTTTTGTGTTATTTGTCTAGATGAATAACTCAAAAAATTGGGTCGTTTTTACTTGGGCACGTTGATAAAATAATATCTTTTATATTATTTCGTGTTATTTTTCAAAATTAGTTCTACTTATTTAATAATTTTGAGGATGTGAAGGAGTTTATTATTAGCTTTGCTGCTCTTAGCTTTTGGCATATATACCGTATCATCAAGTTTATTTTGTTTTTCTTTGTCTTTCTCTGTGTTAGTTATATCAGTAAATGTAATAAACATATGTGATTTTACAGACATGCCTCTTTAGGGTAGTTCAATAATAGAGAAGGAAAAATGACATGCTTCCAGTTACACTAATAAAGAAACATAGATATTTTGTGTATGATGTAGTGTTTTAAAGCTCGTTGAATTCCCTACAATCCCTCTCTTCCTATACGTAGCTAAATTCCTTCAAATGTCGAACTTAGTCTAAGTTTATCAAAAACTATTTAAAAGTTTCATGGGTGCTATTAACTGTCATTCTATGCACATTTTGTACAGAATTTCATGAGCTGTCCAATCATATATGCAGATATGTGCACCTTTTTGCCGCCGGAACATTTTTCTCCGCCTTCAGCGGCGGCGTACATCACTTTGTACTTTGTTCGCCATATGGAAGAAACAAGAGAAAAATACTTTTTACGTAACCTCTCGCTGACCTTTGAGAGATAACCTACTGATGTCCCACAGACCAGAAACTGGTTCCTGTGTTAATTAAACGACCACTATGCATCTTGCATGGTTTATGTTTACAAACGAGAATAATGCTGTTTATGCTAGGGCTCATGGTCGATCTATAAGCATGCGAATAAACATCTTACATCACAACTCCTTTCATTCTTCCACCGAAAAGTAAAAAGAAACGAACGTATTAGATGCGAAATTCTTCCTTGCTTCTCGATTTCAAACAGCATGAACCATGCGATCGATATAGATAAAAATATTCCTGCTGACAGATATGAATTCTCCTTGATAAAGTATAATTAATTTTAGATTAAACGTAATTCCTGCGGAAAACAGCACAATTTCCGTATAAAAGCATAATTCTTGTAAGATATAGAACAAAAGTGAGAAGCTCAAAATTCTCGTATTACAAACTATAATTCTCGTACTGCGTAAGCTGATGAAACCAGATGTTTAAATTAGGTCTTAGTTTAATCGGATGTAAGACAAAAAAGGTTTTTTCTGAAGGGAGGCGCTTAATAAATTGCTCGATTGATAAAACATGAATTTGATTGAGAGAAGACGAGAATGGAATTAGACAAACAATGATGACTTTTGTACTAAAAACTTGTTTTCAATAACAATAAAAGAGGAATAAAGTTCCGACATTGTATTTTTATTTTTTTATTTTCGTGTTATGAAATCATGAAGTACTGTAAGTCGCAAACAGCATTGCAATAGTTGTAAATGAATATATATACCTCACTGAAAAGATCCACCTAAAATAAGAGCCAAAATACTGTTCTGGTTCGTGTGAAGTGCAAATTAGATTGCCGACTGTTCTACACCACTGAATAGCGATACAATTGGAAGATTTACTACTTCATGTATTCATACTATCTATGATTGATGAGAAAGATTTAGCCACTACAAATGGTCAAGAATTTTTACGATTAATTGAAAAATCATTTGTAAACCAGAAAAGATTGTACAATGGATTATTATATCACAGGTATAGAATAATGGCGTAGCCAGGATTTGGTTGGCGGGTAGGCGTAGCCTGAAATTTTTTCAAAGTGGTATTAAAAGTGACATTAGCGCAGAGTAGTGTCAATTATAAAACTTTTAGTAGGTCGGCCAAACTAATTAGTGGGTGAGCTGGACCCAGCCCACCCACTAGTGTAGAAAGTCTCTTGTCCACAGTAAAAAATATTGCGTCGCAGCTTCTGTGAGAAAATTGTGTCGCAAAAGAATGTGTCGCATAATTGTGTTGCCGTTACTAAGAACTTTCAGACACAGTCCTGAGGTCATTTCAGGATCTGCTCTCTTCAAAAAATCGCTAAATTTTATGTTTTACTATTTTCGGCAGTCTTCATTAGTATTTTTCTCGGCTTCTTTTCAATTTTGATATGCTATAGGTGGCGCTAATACGTAAAAGATAAGAAAATTTTCGAACTTTCTAAGTGTTTTCAATTTCAAATTGGTGTTTTTAGTGGATAAAGATCCCTCTCTTGGTCTTTTTTAACTATTTTCTACGTTAAACATTTTTTCTCTAATGAAAACCAACCAATCAGAGGCCTTGACTACGCCATTACTCCACAAAAATCAGCACCACACGACACTATAGTGTCGTGTGGTGCTGGTGTTTCCCACTTGCATTATTGCATTGATGATGGCGCCTCATTAATTATTGTATATTATCGAAGAGAACGATGCGGCGGAACTACAACCTTTGCTGAGAACGGTTTTTGCCATGACAAAGCCGATTTTAATAGTTTAAATTCTTAATTTCGCCCTTTCATGACGGCGTTCAGTTCATCTACGACACTGCGAGCAGAAATCGGCGCGAGAGAACGTTTTACACTAATTATCGTCTAACTAATTACATGCTGGTTCTCAGTTAAGAGCTTGCGCAGACAACTTTAGAAAACGAGCACAGAAAGATCTTAAGTCATTAGGTATGCAACATCGACAAGTCTTTCTAGCGTTACGTAGCGTGGCCAAGGGCAAAAGTATCGTAATTACCAGACCAGATAAAGTGACAGATGTAGTCATATTAAATCGAGAAGAGTATATCAACAAAATGAATATCATATTGAAGGACAGTAGCACTTTTTCGCGTATATATCATTATCCAATGAGAATGATCTAATTAGAAACGTACTACGTCTACGGTTTCATCACAGAAGAAGCATATAAAATCGCCAGACCTACTGGTTCTTGATCGGCGAGTATTATCGGTAACAAAAATAGTTGACTATCGTTTAGGTTAACCAATTACCACATTTAAGGAGCAGTCCATCTGTAGGAAAACATACATTTGACTTTGTAAAGAAAATACCTTCATTACAATCAATGAATACTAAAATGGTATAATTTATGTCACTAGTCGAGTAGATTGTGGAGTGGGAAATAGAAATTCAAGTAAGAAGTACAAAACTCCAACGAAATGCATCTTTTAGTGAAGTTAACTACTACACTGATTTACCGAGCTTTCGACCTGTTTATTCTTCGGTCATTTTCAAGGCGAATGATAAAAAGAAAAAACGTGTACAGTATAAGAAGAAACAGAACGAACTAAATAAAATAAATGTTTTGACTTGCAAGTCTAAGTTCGAAGAACTTTTTACTGTCACCATCTTAGACTTGCAAGTCAAAACATTTATTTTATTTAGTTCGTTCTGTTTCTTCTTATACTGTACACGTTTTTTCTTTTTATCATTCGTCTTGAAAATGACCGAAGAATAAACAGGTCGAAAGCTCGGTAAATCAGTGTAGTAGTTAACTTCACTAAAAGATGCATTTCGTTGGAGTTTTGTACTTCTTACTTGAATTTCTATGTCACTAGTCTTTTTACAAATGTCCCATTAGAGTATACAATTAAAGTTTATTGGACGAAATGCAACCTACTTGTATCAGAACATGTTCAAATTCCAAGAAGAAAATGTCGGAAATGTAAAAGGAGACAAAGTTTTGATATGCTATTACGAACAGCAACAACAGACACATTTTCCATTGGATAACAAACTGTATATACAACACAACGGAGTTGCGATGGGCACATCTTTATCATCGGTGATAGCTGATATATTCATGGCTCACCTATAAACAATATTAATCGACAAACTGAAACAATATGGAGTAATTGAACGGTTGAGATACGTAGATAATAATTTCCATCTTCTAGAAACATACTAAGAACATGTAATTAAACACAAACTTGAAAGACTATTGATGCCCTTCTGTCATCTACATCTTTCTTTTCTTCCTGAAATATAAATGTAAAACCTAAATCTTTTTAATCTATCTGTGAAAGATAACAACCGTTTCTACTTTTTAAAAAAATAAATATAAAGTTATATTTATACGATCATAAATCTCATCTTTTTTCTCTTACTGCCTATAATCAGCCAGTTTCAAAAACAGTCCATAAATCTCATTCGTCATATTAAACGTATAAAAATACTGTATATTGCACAACGTTTTATAGCAGAAGTCGACAATAGTAGCAAAATGTCTTTTGATTGCGTAATCAGTTATTACGTTAAGTCCATCAGCTTAGTCATCTACCCTGTACCAAGCAAGAAAAAAGGTGAGTAGAATAACAACACATTTTCGTACCAACCAAATATCTGAATATAAAACATTTGCTCCTATTTACAATCAAACCTTTCATCTCAAGAATCTGTAGCACACGAAAACTGAGAAAGTGAACGCAGGAAGTACATTCAATTTGCCAACTGCGATACTGCGGTTTTGCACAAAACCGATCAATCAAGCATGATATGCTGATTGACAACTTGTTTTGGTGCTATTTTGTATACATATTGTTAAAAAGAAATAAACCCTTTTTTTGCAAAATTACGCAATAGAAATGTTGAATCATCACAAGGACTCGTTGCCCTGAAATCACACAGACTGCATTCTTGCGTTGTAAAGCAAAAAGCTTTTTTGCAAAGTACGACAGAAAATTCTGCATGCGCTGTACAAAGAATCACGCAACATTTTGTGTACACAAAAAACTGCATTTATTTCGCTCGTGTAACCATATTTTGGGTTATACCACTTAGATTTTTTGCGTGCATTTTTCTGCGTTAAATATGAAAAAACGTTTTGAAAATTTGTACATGGGTGGGGTTGTTGATCGTTAATTACCATTTACTCCTAAGGTAAAATATGTGACAATAATGTACTAAGTCACTATTCCTTTTCATGTACTTCACCAGTGCTCAATGCAATAATTATTCACGTATGACGAACAACGCCTCTGTGTGTTTTTCTTATTCAAATAAATGTTATCCGACTGATTATATAAAACTACAACTAGCAAAAATAACACAATAATTACAGTTCTACAACGCCACATTAACTCCGTGTTTTATAATGGATTCAAATTACGATCAACAGCAAGGTTCTTCTGGCGGTGGTGTTTTTGGTGCAGTTGAACGTGGTATTGGTGATGTTGAAGGTAAATTTCGTGGTATGGAAGAAAAACATGAAGAACATGAAGCTGAAAAATATGAAGGTCGTGAAGCAAAAGATGCCTACAAAGAACAGCAAGATTATTCGCAAGGAAGACAGTATTAATAGACATACGAATACCAACGTTACTTAACATATCTTTTACTAATCATCTCTTTATGTATAAACATTTATGCTAATACAAAAGAACAACGTTTGGTAGTGGAATCTTGGCCATTTTATTCATATCACATCTGACTTCTGAGAATATCTCTGAAAAGCTTTTTCGTTCTTGAACTTTTGAAACCAGTAACCGTATCTACTTTCGGATTCTTAATAACGGATCACGTTATGCGATACACAAGAACAATTTATCACAAGATTTAGTTTTCATTGATAAAGTAGGTGCAAATAAACAAAAATACGAGGTGCTATTCATGCAAGTAAAGATTTCGAGCAAAGCTGTCAGCATTTTTACACGCTTCAGAACAGACGAATATATCTGATCGTATGACACTAGTTTAACCTTTAAATGTTTAAGGGTCTCCCTTTCCAAAATTCGATTTTTCTTCATAATCTTCGAAACTGAAGTGAGCATATGGGTAAGTATCCTGAACTGCCATCTTTCAGAATACATCTTAATTTGCCATACATTCAATGTTTCTGAAGGCTTTTGAAAGAGATTGTCGGAAGTCCCGAAAAACTACCTTTTCTAAAATTTCAAATTTCAATTAAATTTTATTATAGAAACTAAACTATTTATAGAACTATGTTGAGCAGAGTGTTCTGATCAAAATGAGATGTTCCACATGTTTGTACCACTTCGGCTTGCAGAATTATACTTGTTTTGCTAGAGGCTCTGAATTATCATTAATGAAGCAATAACGTCATTGCTTAGAATATACTTTTGACGCAGAAGAATTTCGAATGTTTCTTTCTTTCAAGAATAGGAGTATTTGACATCGTCACTCAGTAAAACACCTTATAATTTTTCCAAAATTTTCATTTAAAAGAACTTCAAAACCTCATGACAAAATGGGTCTCCTTCACGTCATCACGGTGACGGTTATCTTTAATTTTAGCCAAATACGAGCTCTCAAGCAGTAAATTTGACGAAGAAATCTACTGAACCGTTTCCGTCACAATCAAGATGCTTGAGATATGGTGACGCCAGTATATGGGAAACATTTTAGGACTCTTAGTAAAAGTGTTGCAACTCTTAATCAAAACATGCTCAAAGTTTCGAAGCTTCTCTTTCAAGTATTATTGATATTCTTCTCTATTTCATGAAGTATTAATTTTCCATAAAAATCCGCTTTTCTGAGCGTTTAGAAAAAAATTTTAAAATCGTGAAATACCCATACTTGCCAGAAAGTAGCGCATTCCCAGAGAAACGAAAAAAACAACGAAGAGTGAAACTATCTCTACGCAAAACTTTAGTAGATAAATATAAGATTATTTTAATGTGAGACTATTCCATAAAACGTCTTTGGCTTTAGAATTTCGACTTACCGCGGTAATAATGCGACAAATCATCGGATTTGGTGTCAAAGTTCAAATCTGTTTTGTTTAAAAGTCAAATCCGAGTCAAATTCTGCTCGAAAAATCCTTCAAGGCCGGTCTTAATTTCAAAGCCCGACTTGGACTTGCGTATCTCTGAATATGATTGTATTGACTGTTGAAAAACTTCGCTATAAATCATATACTTCTGTTTTCTTTACCTAGAACACTGTGCGAAACATACGACAAACTTGTCCTCGACTTAGGACATGTCAGAAATGTTTTACACGACTATATCTCGTACAAGAATACTTAAAGACATTATACTGTTAGGTTTTCATCGTTCTTCATTTAAAGTGAGCAACTTAATCGTGCATATACTAAGTTCGACGCGATATTTAATGTTATTTTGTTTTTTAAATCTCATTAGGTTACTAAAGCAGCTATTGCAGAAACAAAAAAGACTTTTCGAAGCTGAGGAGTGAAAGCCTCTACTATTTGAAGATTATCTCGATGATGATGAGGAACTGTTAACGGTAAATCCTAATAAATTTAATTTCTCGATTAATAATACAGGTAAAAAACGTGTCAGTGCAGATAATAGCAGATAGTACACAACAGTGTGAATCCGGTACAATTATTAGTGAGGATATTGCACATATTTGTAGAATGTCGGTACATGAATCTATCTTTTCAGAATGCTTTAAAACAGGATATGTAAATGCTTTATTCGAAGGTGGAGATCATACATCACCAGACAGTTATTGTCCTATTACACTACTGCCCTCACTATCGAAAGTACTTTAGAGAGTAATGTATAAACAATTATATGAATACTCACAGAAGAATAAGTTGCTGTCTGTGTTTCAGTCAGCTCGATGTTCTATTTCTAGTATAAATTAGAACCCGATCCGACATCGGCTTCCCCAGTTTTCAAGAGGGTAATATTTTGTGATTTGTATGATATTATTTGTTTTTTCTTTATTTCAGGATTAGTCTGAAGAAATCGATTAGAACAATGATAATAAAACTTTATTTCATTTCATTATTTTCTCGTTTAATGCACAGAAAGTAATGTTATTCTTTAAAGTAATGGTTAACATTAAAACGTGTTTAAGGGTACCCCTCTTTTTCTATCCTCTTGAAAACTGGAGAAGCCGATGTCGAATCGGGTTCTAATTTATACCAGAAATAGAACATCGAAAACAAAAATCGATGTATTTTTGCCCAGAATTTTGTGACATGTTCTTCTATGGGTTTTCTCGAAAACTTCAGTTTTCATCCAGTCACATTACGACCCCTCGAAAAAATGGTCCGATTGAGCTCAAAATTTTACCATAGATAGTTTAGATACTATCTCAGATTAGTTCTTTTTCTTTCAAAAAATATTCTTTCCTTCTCGAGTTATCCGAAAAATACCCAAAATCCCATATAAAAACCGGTTTTTCATTTTGAAAACCTTCTCACGCCGAAAGTTGAAGTCGAAAACGCTTTTAAAAAAAATGAGCCTGAGATAGGGTCTGAACTGTCTGTGATAAAATTTTGGCTCGATCGGACCATTTTTTCCAGGGGTCGTAATGTGACTGGATTGAAGGGACTAGCGAAAAAACGTATAGACGCATAGGCGAAAAAACGCAAAATATATGTAATGCGAAAACATATATTGTACACACGGCGCTGTTTTTCAGAACATTTGCGGCTATGCTTATATCTCTAAGAAAACTCATCGGAAAATTCTGGAAAACATCTCATTTTGAAGAGCATACTTTCTTCTGTAATGCTATATATAAGAAAAATGTTTGAATATATAGAAAAGGAGAGAAAAATTTACAAACCTAAAAAATTGAGATTTTCTGGGCTTTAAAGAAAAATTTAAAAACTTTTATGCTAATGGAATAATAGCGGAAGGGAATCGACTAGGCGAACATTGCGAAGCACAAAAGATAGCCCGACAATTGATAGCCACGCAAAAAGAGCCTCTTTTTGCGCGGCTATCAATTGTCGGGCTATCTTTTGAGATTACGGGCTAAATTGAGATTTTGTGGGCTTTAAAGGAAAAACTTAAAAACGTAATAATTTTTTCAGGGAAGGTCATGGAGAGCTGGGAGTAGTCTCATTTTATAGCCCAGACTTTCCTCTACATTAGACTATGTTCAGCTCCAAATGACAACTTTTCTGCAAAAAAGAGATACCCTTGATGACTTTTTATAATGTTGAAGGCATTAATATTCAAATGTTTATAACAATACGTTAAACATCAAGAAAAACAATGCAAAATTCCGTATAATTAATAGGAGATCTTTTTTTTCATCATTTTTCAGATACATCTGAAGAGTGTGGAAAGCTTTCTGGACCACGTTTCGTATTTAGATCTTTTCTCACTCAAACTCAATCACAAAAAATTTTGTTTTCTATGTTCTTTGAAGGTCCGACTTAACTTTTTCTAACGAAAAAATAGTTAACTCTTCAGCACATCGCGAACATGCAGAAATAATGTTTGACTGTTTTCCAGAAACTTCTCAATTTAGCCCAGAACAACGATATGTTCCGGGAACATATCGTTGTTGGCATATGTTTATTTCATCAAGCAGAAATCAACAACAGGCGGCAAAGTTTGGAAACGTCGTATTTATTATCGATGCCAGTTGTACTAGTGGCTTGGCTGTATAGGATTCTATCGTTTCACAGCACAAGAAGCAGTAGCAATAGAATGGATATCTTTAGTATTTGATGAGCGAACTCGTGATTATTACATTCTTGTATTTACTGGTTTAGATGGCCTCAGAAAAAATGGAAAAACTGTTGAAGAGTTCTTCAAGGTGCATCATCTTTTTCAAGGTGCATTACCTACAATATGTGGTAGAAAAATGTGGGAGCACATATATCGCCCTCGATAATAACGCAAGTGATGATGAACAAGAAGAAATAATCAAGGTTTTATTAGATAAAATATCAATGATGATACAGGAAAATGGTGGGCAATTCTATAACAACAAGAAATTTCTAGAAATAGCTACGGTATTGGACAAGTATTCAGGCTTGCTTGATCCACTGAAGCCGGATGGATCTGTCAATTTATTACAAGAAACAGAAAAAATTGTTGATGATGGACTTCAAAGAGATTTTTACTCATCAGTGAGAAAATTAATAAATAACAGATGTAACCTCTATCAAAGTTTATGTGAGTGCACAACATACATACAGAACAATTTTTCTCTTTAGACGGGCATTGTCATATACTCAGCTCTATTCCATACAAATATGACTAAAAACAATCTTGTCCTTATAGCTGCATGCTTTTTCAATTATGAAAAATCTTTTTACGTTGATTTTGTGTATATGCATCAAGTAATATCATTTAGAGAACAACATTCGTTGCTAAACTGTAAGACTTGATAGCAATACTGTCAATATCATAAGAGCTGCTGATTGTGCTTGGTTACGTGAAATGATGCTTGTCAATAGTACATGAAAGCGTTTATATTTACAATACATGTCAACTAGAGAAAAGAAGACAATTTGACGAACAAAACATAACGCATAAAATGGATGCAGGTACTAGTCATAACAGTAATGATGGTGAAGGTGATAAAATACCGTTAGTATTCAAAGAATATTTATGTATA